GATGAGTGAGAACACGCTCGATCTCGTACTCTGGTTCATCCTGCACAAGTACAGGTGGTGGTGGCGGTAGCTGCCGTCCTTGGAACTGTTGGTTGGGGTCCTTGTAGGGTTTCAGTAGCTGAACATGGAAAGCGTTGTGAAGCTTCCACGTATCTGGTAAGCGCAAGCGGAATGTAACTGGTGTCACATATGCCTCAACGAGAAAAGGACCACAGAAGCGAGGCCGGAGTTTGGATGGGAGGTTAGAAAGGTTCAAGTTGCGCGTGTCAAGAAGCACCTGATCTCCAACTGCTACTGAGTGATCTCGTCGCTGGCGATCGGCATACTGCTTCTGGGAGTTCTGCATCGTGGTAAGACGCTGCTGAGTCTTCTCCCATAGCTGCTGCATGGTGGTGACGAAGTCGTGTGCGGCTTGGACGTGTACTGGTGTGGTTGGCTGTTGTGGTGTGAGTGGTTCCCGTCCGTAACACAGGAAGTAAGGGAGCTTTCCCTGTGGCCGCATGCGATGCGTTGTTGTAAGCGAACTCAAGGGTCGGTAACTGTTGATCCCAATGGCTGACGTCGTCTTTGCAAGCTGTGCGCAGTAACTGTTCAACCACCTGATTGAGTCGCTGCGTATGTCTGCCAGTCTGGGGATGGTATGCTGAAGACATCGCAAGCTTTGTCCCCAACAGTCCAATGAGCTCCTTCCAAATCTTACTAGTGAATTTGGGATCTCTGTCTGAGATGAGTGTAGCGGGGATGCCGTGGATGGTGATGATGCGGTCGAAGAAGAGTGGAGCAGTTTGCTTCAGCTGTAGCTGTGGCGTTGGTCGGAATGAAGTGACCCATTTTAGAGAACTTATCGATCACTACGAGGATGGAATCATGCCCTCGTGAGGTCGAAGGAAGTCCTGTGATGAAGTCGAGACTAACGACCTGCCATGGCTGCTCCGGTACGGGTAGAGGCTGAAGTAACCCTGTTTTTTTCTGTTTGCTACTCTTCATCCGCTGGCATGTGTCGCATGAGGTGATGAACTGCTGTATGTTTGTTGCCATCCGAGGCCAGTAGTAATACTTTGCTATTCCCGCTAACGTTTTGTTGCTCCCGAAATGTCCCGCGTATGGTACCGCATGAAACTCCTCTAGAGAATAGGATTTGCCGTAGCGGGGCGTAATTCGATACCCAAATATTTCCTGAACCTGCTAAGTCTTTCTCCCACTGTAACAGCTTCTGTTTCTCTGCCGTTGCTATCTCTGCGTCCACGAAGTATACATGTTGGAATAGACCCTTGAGCAGAGGTTTCATCCCTCGAGTTGGATACCTGCTACATGACTGGCGCGGCTCAACACGTCAGCCTTGTTGCGTAGACCAAGTTTGTAGACAATGTCGTAGTGGAAGTGGGTCTCCAAGAAGTCCACCCACCGCACCTGTCGTCATGAGAGCGTCGGCTGCGACTTCAGGTATTTGAGGCTGCAGTGGTCAGTCTCAGAATAACTAGGCAAGAATGGTTGGATTGAAAGAAGCAAGGGTACAAATAGGAAACCCTAGTTGGGGTTGTACCCCATATTGGCTACCCCACTACAGCCTACAAGCATAATACAGTTTAACACACCCCCATAGGCAAAGTGGGGGAGAACAAAGGGTCACAAGACCAGTCCAGCAAAGCAAAACAAAGCCCAGGGTGGATCACAACGTCACCACACTCCGAGCACAAGTAAAGGCCACAAGGCCAGTTCACATGCAGTGCTAGATATAGTACAAGACAAGCAACACAGTGATCAAGACCTAGCAAGCAAGCAACAAGATATATATAAAGTACAGTACAAAGAATGTCAAGCAGTGAGCAAGTGAGGAAACGTGGACACAAGGCCTAAAGAAGTACAGTGCCGCTGATGATCACTAGGCGGGAGCGCCTTGGTGAAGATATCAGCAGTGTTGGCCTTCGAGTCCACGTACACAAGCCGAAGCTGACCGCGCTGCTGAAGCTCTCGAGCAAGAAAGTAGCGAAGAGCAATGTGCTTCGTCCTGTGCTCCAGTCTGTGCTCCTGACACAAGGCAATGGCCGCCTTGTTGTCACCGTACAGAACTGGAGGAGAACTAGGCCGCTCTCCCAAGTCAGTCAGCAGGTAGGTGAGCCAGCGTAACTCCTGTGCAGCCATGGCTGTGGCATAGATCTCAGCCTCACAACTAGAGCCGAGAACAGAGGAAGAGCGGGTGGACCGCCACGAGACAGAACCTGAGCCAAGGCTGAAGGTGTAACCCTGTGACGACCGCTGCGTAGCCAGGTCGTCCACCCAAGAGGCGTCCGAGTGACCAGTGAGGACAACTCTGTCGCGTCCTCCAAGCACCAGCCCCATGCCTGATGTACTGCACAGGTAACGCAGCACCCTCTTAGCAGCCTCCCAGTGCTCTCGCCTGTGTCTCCCAGGCGCAACGTAACGAGCAAGGATGCTAAGAGGGTACGCGAGGTCAGGTCGCGTGCAAGTCATCAGGTACATGAGGCAGCCTACAAGCTCTGGGTACGGGCCACTCGGCTCTACGGACTCGTCCGAAGGTGGAGCTGAGAGCGAGTGGCTGGTAGCCAGAGGTGTGGCCTGTGGTGAGGAGAACTGGAAGCCGAAGCGCTGAAGGACCTGCTGCACCATGTGTGACTGAGTCAGGGTGATGGTGCGGCGAGCTCTGTCCCGGGTGATCTGCAAGCCAAGGTAGCTACGCAGTTCACCCAGGTCAGTGCAGGTGTGTCTCTTCTGCAGCTCCGACTTCACACGAGCGAGTGCCTCAGTGTCAGCAGTAGCAAAGACCAAGTCGTCGACGTACACGAGAATGTAGAACGGCGGCAGCGACGTGTCTGTGCGCAGAAACAGCGACGGGTCAGCAGTAGACGGCGCGAACCCAAGAGCCGCAAGAGTAGTCCTCAGTGTGTCGTGCCACTCACGTGGCGCCTGGCGGAGACCGTAGACTGGCCGGCGGAGACTCCACTGGGTACCAGGGGGAAACGACCCAGTAAAGCCAGGTGGGCGGCGCAGCCAGATCTCCTCGTGCAGGCTGCCCTGCAGGAACGCTGTGCTGAAGTCAAGAGAGTGAAGCTCGTAGTCACGCTGAGCAGCAACGTGCAACAGAACCCGAAGAGTGGTCATCTTCGGGGTGGGGGAGAAGGTCTGGAAGAAGTCGACCCCCTGACGCTGACTGAAGCCTCTAGCAACGTAACGAGCCTTGAAGACAGGCGGAGAACCTGGCGGCCGCTTCACCCTGAAAATCCACATGCCATCGACGATGTTCGCCCCAGGAGGGGGAACCTCGTCGACGTAGGTGCCTGTGGACTTCCAGGATGCCATCTCTGCGTCCATGGCTGTCTGCCACTGAGAGGAGTAGGGACCCGAGATCGCCTCTGCGTAAGTGCGCGGAGTGGGGATGTCTAGTGCATCCGGGTCTCCCTCAGGGGCAAGCAACCAGGCCACGAGATGAGGTACAGCAGCCGCAAGAGAGTCAAAGTCCTCCTGCCTGTCCTCAAGGACGTCCGTGCCAAGAGCACACTCACCCCCGACGGACGGAGGACAGACAGACGCAGACTCAGACTCAGCAACAAGGCTAGCAGCGTAGTCTAGACGACAGGCAGCAGCAAAGTCAACCAACTCAGCGACCAGAGCAGACGCAGCCGAGGACTCAAAGGTAGGGTCAGTGACAACAGTAGCGAGGAGACGCGTGACTGTAGGGTGCTCAGCGCGATACCGGTCAGACTCAGGGTCCGGAACGGCAGGCAAAGAGGACGCAGGAGGAGACGGTAGAGGGACACGCCGAGGAGCAGTAGAGGGACGCAGAGTCATGTAGTGAGTGCCTGGGACAGGAGGAGGACGCTCACGACGGACACGACTACCAGTGCGAGCAGGACGAACAGGCGACGCAGGACGAGACTCAGGCTCACGACGCTCTGTAAGACCTCCTGTGGGACCAGTATAAGGAGAGGGAGCAGGGAGAGGCGAGGCAGGCGGTAACTGTGACTGCGGCTGGACAGGCGGAGGACACTCTACGGAGGGAGGAGGACAAGGAGGAGGAGCCTGCCCAAGAACCTGCTGAAGGAGCGGTACGAAGTACGGTCGCGGCCGCGCAGCGTCTCCAGAAGCAGAAGGGACTCCAGCGGCCGGGTCCTCAGCACCAGTAGGAGCTCCAGCGTCCGGGTCCACAGCACCAGCAGCAGCTCCACCGGCCGGGTCCCCAGCTCCAGCAGCAGCTCCACCGTCCGACTCCTCAGCACCAGCAGCAGCTCCACCAGGTGGGTCCGCAGCACCAGCAGCAGCGCCACCCCCAGAGTCGGCAGCTCCAACTCCGCTAGCACCGCCAGCGCCAGAGTCCCCAGCTCCAGCAGCTCCAGTCGCAGTGCTCCCAGAACAGCCAGTCCCGGCAGCTCCAGTACCCCCAGTACGAGCACCCCCAGGACGAGCAGCTCCAGCACCCCCAGCTCCAGCCGAGCCACTAGGACGGCGAAAGCGTCGGACGTACCAGTCACGAAGCTGCTGCGGTGTGAGAGACTGCTCAGCACCCCGAACCGGAGCACCCCCAGACGCAGTAACCCGAGGCTCCGTAGGCTCAGTAGCAGCACCCCCAGGCTCAGTACCCGCAGGCTCAGTACCCGCAGGCTCAGCACCCCCAGTCGCAGCACCCCCAGGCTCAGCACCCCCAGGCGGCAAACTCTCAGGCACAGTACCCTCAGCTCCAGCACCCGCAGTCCCAGCACTCCCAGGCCCCGCACCCGCAGGCTCAGCACCCCCAGACGCAGCACCCCCAGGCTCCGTACTCTCAGGCACCGTACCCTCAGCTCCAGCACCCTCAGTCCCAGCACCTGCAGCCCCAGCACCCCCAGGCCCAGCACCCCCAGGCTCAACACCCCCAGGCTCAGCACTCCCAGCAGCACCACCCGCAGCAGCACCTGAGTCACCTGTGACCTCGACAGGCTCAGCGACGGGAGGAGGGTCTACCTGAGAGACACCTGAAGGAGCAGGACCCTGAGGGGGAAGGGGGTCTACCGGAGGGGGACCAGGAGCAAGGAAAAGCGGCGGGGGAGGGGGGGGGCAGTGCGGTAGGGGAAGAGACGGTAAAAAGGGACCGACTCGTCAAAGGTGACATCCTGAGAGGCGAAGACCCGGCGCGAGGTGGGGTGGTAAAACTGCCAGCCAGGCGCGTCAGGGACAAAGCCAAGGAAGACACAGGGAAGCGTGCGGGAGGAGAGCTTGTCCGCAGACGTATCGCGGACAAGGGCACGAGCACCCCACACCCGGAAGCGCGACGCATCGCCAACCTCCCCCGTCCAACGCAGTGTGGGCGAGGTCTCCGGTAAGGAGACACGGGGCCAGAGGTTGAGCTGATGCGCGGCGTACCGGACAGCAAACGGCCACAGAAAATGGGGAGCCGCCGCGTGGACCAAGGAGGTACGAGCGACCTCCATGACCAGGCCAATGCGGCGCTCAGCAACCCCATTCTGCTGTGGGGAGTCCGGAAGCGTGAAGGTCTGCTCGATGCCCTCCGCCTGACAGAAGGTCCTCAAGAGATCGGAGGAAAACTCACCACCTCTGTCAGAGTGCAGACGGAGGACAGGAAGATCCGTCCGGAAACGGCGGCGGAGCTGGAGACGAACCGTGCGGATCCAAGGGATCAGAACAGCAGGGACCTCACCCTTGGTGCGCAAGGGGAAGACCGTGGTGTAACGCGAGTAGTCGTCGACAACCAGCAAAAAGTACCGCTCACCGCCCTGACCACGAACGCGGGCTGGGCCCCACACGTCCAGGTGGAGGGTCTGCAGAGGAGCCTCTGTCGGGGGGAACGAGGAGGAGTGAGGAGCGGCGCGCTGCCGCCCCTCGACGCAAGGAAGGCAAGGCGGCGCAGGCGAGGCAGGGAGGGGAGGGAGGGACCTGGGAAGACCGGACACAAGGTGGCGACGGTGCATGCCACGAAGGCGTGGCAAGGAGGGGTGACCCAGGCGGTGGTGCCAGAGAAGAGTCTGGTGCGACAGGGAACGACACTCACAGGCGTGGGCTACCAGACCTGACGCAGACACCTGACCGACAGCAGCTACCTGAGGAGACGCAGTGGTCAGTGTGTAGAGACTCGACCCCGGCCGACGGGTAAACGTAGCCAGGTGACGGCCGGTCCTGGAGCACGTGCAGATCGCCACACGCTGTCCGCCAGGGGTAAAGGTGTCAACCCACTGATCCTGGAGGACAGCGTTGCTCACCAGGTTCGTCGAGAACGAGGGGAGGTGGAAACCCGACAACGAGCCAGACGGAACCGCCGGACAAGGGAGGACAGTGGTGGACTGGGCAAGGACTGGGCCCCCAGAGGGGTCAGCCAAGGAGACTGGGACCGGTGCAGGAAGCGGTGTGAGCTCAGTACTGTCACGGAAGAAGCAACGGGAAGCACCTGAGTCAAGGGTGAAGGTGTGACAGGCCTCAGCCGGTGCGGTACCTAAGAGAGCAGTCTCTGTGGGTGCTGTACCTGAGAGAGCAGACTCGAAACCAGCCGGGACAGCACTGGGGGGAGCAAGTACAGGGGGCACCATACCAGAGAGAGCAGACTCACTAGTACCCAGGGCAGCGGGCTCTATACCTGGGTCAGGCGGCACACACAAGTAACAGTCTCCCTCGGCACTAACAGTCAATGCATACATGGCAGCAATAATAGCATCATAGTCAAGAGCAAAGACATCAACACCAGCCCTCATGAGCTCAGCCCAGCGGGGGCGCTCAACATCCGCACCCATCTCCTCACGCCAAGCGTCGTCAAGGCGGGAGAAGCAGCGGTACGGGGTGTGGAACCTCCCACACGTCTGTCCCTTGCGGTCACCTGTGCGAACAGCGGCCACTGGCCCCCGACGTCCCACGCTGAGCAAGCCACTCACGAAGCTGCTGGGTCGACTGGGGACGCTGCTGCTGCTGGGAGCTCTGGCCCGAGCCAGTGCCTCCACTCCGACCTCCGCCGCCACCACTACCACCGCTCCGACCGCCACCGCCACCACCGCCACCACCGCCACCGCCGCCACCGCCGCCGCCGCCACCGCCGCCGCCGCCACTACTGCCACTGCTTCCTCCGCCGCCCCCGCCTCCACCACCGACCCCACTCCCACCAGCGCTCCCGCCACCGCTCCCTCCAGCACCGCCTCCCCCCCCACCTCCCCCACCTCCTCCCCCCCCAGCGCCACCACCACCACCCTTGCCCCCCTTGCCCTTGCCGGTGCGGCGCCTCCCACCAGGAGCAGAAGCAGCGCCAACAGACTCAGCACCAAGGAAGTCAACAGCAGCAGCAGCAGCGTAGGAGGGAGCGAGGGGAGAGGGAGAACACCCCTCAAAGATGGGGGTGCGAGGAGCGCCACGAGCAGCACCAACAGCTACAATGCTCTTTTCGGCCGCGAGCAGCTGCTCCTCTAGGAGGGCGACTGTGAGCTCAGTGGGACAGCGAGCAAGGAAGTGGTCTCGAACTGAGCGGAGGGTGTCAGGGAGACGGGTGACTATGAAGTGGAGTGTCCAGTACAGTGGAGGGGGGTTCTTAGCGCAGAACTCGGTGGGAAGGGCGGCACGCAGGCGAGCATCACTAGTGCGAAGGTGGGTGATAAGATCGGCGACTGTAGTAAAGGTGGACAGATCGGGGAACAGGTACGGCAGCATGAGGCGGCTAAGCTCGGTTGCGGCAGGCGAGGAGTAGCGAGCAACGACAGCATCGTACAGGGCCTTAGCGGATTTGCAGTCGCCAAAATGCTCGAGCTCAGCTAGCGGCAGGTGACTGCGAATGGCTAGGCGAGCAGCTGCGTCACGAGTCTGCTAGTGGGAACGAACACTAAGCTCGGCTGTGGCAGCAGGAGCAGCGGCAGCACCAGACGCGTAGTCATAGAGGGAGATGTGGTCCGTGCTATTGCTCATAAGATACAACTGCAGGTCGTCGAGCCAGGAAGTGAACTGCACGGGACGGCCCTCAGCATCGAAGGAAAGAACGCGAATAGAGGCCATAGCTCAGGCGTGAGGGCACAGCAGAGCAGCGGCAGCAGCAGAGGGGACGCGCTAGAGCGAAGCTAGTAGCCACAGCAGGAGAAAGCGGCAGTGCACAGGCAGGGAGCAGCAGGTGAGAAGCGCGGCGGGCGAGCTGCGAAGCGGGCAGCGGTGTGGGCGGGCGACGCAGCAAGCGGGCAGTGAGGCGGCGCTGCGAGCGGGCAGCGAAGCGGGCGGGCCGCGAAGCGGGCAGCTAGCGGGCGGGCGGGCTGCGAAGTGGGCGGGCTGCGAAGCGGGCAGCGGGGCGAGCGGGCTGCGAGGCGGGCGGGCCGCGAAGTGGGCAGCGGGCGGGCGGGCGGGCTGCGAAGCGGGCAGCGGGGCGAGCGGGCTGCGAAGCGGGCGGGCCGCGAAGCGGGCAGCTAGCGGGCGGGCGGGCTGCGAAGTGGGCGGGCCGCGAAGCGGGCAGCGGGGCGAGCGGGCTGCGAGGCGGGCGGGCCGCGAAGCGGGCAGCGAGCGGGCGGGCGGGCTGCGAAGCGGGCGGGCCGCGAAGCGGGCAGCGAGCGGGCAGCGAGCGGGCGGGCGGGCCGCGAAGCGGGCAGCGAGCGGGCGAGCGGGCTGCGAAGCGGGCGGGCCGCGAAGCGGGCAGCGAGCGAGCGGGCTGCGAAGCGGGCGGGCCGCGAAGCGGGCAGCGAGCGGGCGGGCGGGCTGCGAAGCGGGCGGGCCGCGAAGCGGGCAGCGAGCGGGCGGGCGGGCTGCGAGCGGGCGGCTCGGCGAGGGGCGCGCGAGGGCGCTAGTGAGGGGCGCGCGAGGGCGCTAGCAAGGGGCGCGCGAGGGCGCTAACGAAGGGGCGCGCGAGGGCGCTAACGAGGGTGCGCGCGAGGGCGCTAACGAGGGGCGCGCGAGGGCGCTAACGAGGGCGCACGAGGGCGCTACGAGGCTAGGGCACGGGGTAGCGTGGTAACCGCATGCGAGCGGTGGTGGGCCCTTAAAAAAACGGTCGGTAGGTCCTAGGGACCTCCTGCTCTGAATACCATCTCAGAATAACTAGGCAAGAATGGTTGGATTGAAAGAAGCAAGGGTACAAATAGGAAACCCTAGTTGGGGTTGTACCCCATATTGGCTACCCCACTACAGCCTACAAGCATAATACAGTTTAACAGTCAGTATATATTGCGGTCTTGGCTCCCTCTAGGTAACACCTCCATGCCTTGAAGGCTACGACTATGGCTAAGGCTTCCTTGTCGTGTATGGGGTAGTTCAGTTCTGCTCCGTGTAGCTTCTTACTGAGGTAGGCGATAGGCTGTAAACCGTGTCCGTGATCCTGCATCAGTACTGCTCCGACTGCCTGGTCACTGGGGTCTGCTTCACCTAAGTAGCCTTTGTGTGGGTCCAGTAGGATGAGTACTGGCGCTGTGGTCAGTGCTGTCTGTAGCTGTTCTATGGGGTATCCCATTTGAAGGGCGTATCCTTTTTCAGTAGGTCGGTCAGTGGCGCTGCTATCTTAGCATACTGCGGCACGAACCTGTTGTAGTAGTTGGCGAAGCCGAGGAACTGCTGCAACTCCTTCACATTCTTCGGTACTTTCCACTTTTTAACGGCTTCAATCTTCCACGGGTCCACGTGTACGCCCTCTGCACTCACCATGTGCCCGAGAAACTGCACCTTCTTCAGGGCGAAGTCGCTCTTTGACAGCTTCACGTAGAACTTTTTTTTTTTCTGCAGGATCTCGAACACCTTCCGCAGATGCTCCACATGCTCGTTTATGTTTTTGGAGTAGATGAGGATATCATCCACATACACTACGACGTACTCGTCCAGCAGGGGCCGTAGGATATGGTTGATCTCGTAGGAGCCGTATCTGGTACGAAACGCCGTCTTGTGGATCGAGTTGTCCGCCATCTTGATCTGCCAGTAACCCGACCGTAGGTCCAGCTTCGAGAAGACTGTTGCACCACTCAGTTGGTCTAGTAAGTTATCTATGCGCGGTATGGGATATTTGTTTTTAACTGTCTGTTTGTTCAGTGCGCGGTAGTCGATGCACATCCGTAAACTACCATCTGGTTTTGGGGTGAAGAGAATTGGAGCTCTGTAGGGAGAAGTGGATGGGCGAAATAGTTGTCTGTCCAGTAAATACTCGATCTGTTTTTTCATGTCTGTCAGCTCGGTCGGACTCAGTCGGTAAGGTGCACGTGAGACAGGTTTCGCACCTGGTTCCTCCACGATCTCGTGCTCGTAGGTGCGTGCTGGAGGTACGCCTGCGGGTAGGTCGTCGGGCATTATATCCTTGTACTGCTCCAAGACCTCCTTCACTGCTGCAGGAAGTTCCAAACTTGGCTTCTCCTCCTCTGCTGCTGCCATAACCAGTGCTAAGTAACCCGTGTTACTCTCGTTCACTGTCCGTTCGAACCGTGCCAGTGTCGTTTCAGGAACATCCCCTGTATCTGTCCAGCTTCGCAGCTCCACACGTTTCCCGTTGTTGTAGATGCACGCCTTCCGATTGACCCAATCGATCTCGGGGTTGAACCGCTTTAGGAAATCTCTCCCCAAGTTGAAATCTAAACCCCTGATGTTCGATATCGACAACGTCGACTTCCACCTCAACGCAACTATATGCAGCTGCAATGATGCTTCACCGTGGATGGGAAGCTTCGTACCGTCCACCATCGTTGCTGAAAATTGGGTCTTCTCCGCTTTCTCTCCAACTTTCTCCAACGTCCCGCGGTCACACACCGAGTGGGACGCACCGCTGTCCACCATCGCTCGGAGGCGTCGCCCGTTGCAGATCACCTCGAGGAGTAGTGGTTGTTGCCGCTCCGAGTAGCCGTAGATGGTCTCGCTTATAGGATCATAGGGTACGTCGAATAGATCATCCCTAGGTCCTGCGCTCGAAGCTGCTGACTCAATATCAGTTTTCAACTGAGGAGGGTTAGAAGGGTTTATCCGAGGCCGATTCAGCTTTGTCTATGCCTGGAACCTTCCCCTATTCCGTTGCAGCTGTGTAGGCTTCTCCTGTGGGCAATGGGGAGCCTTAACACTATGCTGCGGGGAGAGAATATTAACTCCTTGGAACGCACGACCCTTTTGAATGCTCCGGAGTAATTTGCCCAACTTCTCAGGTACCTAGATGTCAAGATAAGAACTCACTTAGAAACTAGGGTTTAGCTAGGGCCTAGGCTTAGGAGCCTAGGCCCATCAAGGATCGAGGGGGTTTGTGCCAAGGATTGTGAGAATGGAGGAGGTTCACTATAGCACACAAGGTACATATAGCAAACTAAGAAAGAAGGTGCACCACCAACAGTTGATAATAATGATGACTACAGTAACTACAGCAAGCAGGATACATTATAAGCTTTGACACACCCCCTTGGCCTGCTTGCGGTAGGAACTTGTGCAGTTAGCACCCCCTGAAGAAGTGCACTGAGGACAGAAGATGAGGAGAGGAGGTGGGGGGCCAGTGCCAGCGGACCCGCTTACGAACCCCCTTTTACGAAGGGGAGGTGAGAGAGGAAAGGGAGAGGAGGTGGGCTAGGTGGGCATGAGCGCGCACGCTCAATGCGATCCACCCCGTTAATAACCCCCAAGTCCCGATGAGGAGAGGAGGTGGGCTAGGTGGGCATGAGCGCGCACGCTCAATGCGATCCCCCCCCGTTAATAACCCCCAAGTCCTCACCCTCCTTTTCAGTCAACCCCTTTAACCTCACCAACGGGACGCACGAACGAAGACAGTCAGCAACGCATGGGG